TTTTTTGAGACAGGGTTTCAATACATAGTCCAGGTTGGCCTTGAACTATGTAGTCCAGGCTAGCTCCAGACTAGCAGCAATCCTCCTCCTGCCTCAGCCTCCTAAATTATAGGATTATAGGCTTGCACCACGAGTATTCATTCTCTTCACACCTAACCTTCCAGTTCAGCCCAAGCCTACTCACAATTACCTTCCAAATTTGCCTGTGGCAAAATGCGAATTCTCCACCCAAATATCATTTCATCCTTCCTCTTCTTATCTTTCCCCCCTCTAAATTTCACCAACGATTTATGTCATCCAGTTATGTTTTATGTGTTATTTAAATAGAATATCTTAAAACATCTCTGAAAAAAGTATAAATTAAAAACACAGGTTGAGTATCCCTTACCCAAAATGCTTGGGACTAGAAGTATTTCAGATTTGGGATTTTTCTTTTTGTTTCAAATATTTGCACATACATAATGAGATATTTTTGGGACCCAAGTGGAAACATAAAATTAATTTACTTCCCATAGATGCCCGATGCACATAACCCAAAGGTAACTTTATGCGGTGGTTTTCCCAACTTTGTTGCATGAAACAGTTTGTTTTCATTATAACCAGACACAGGAGGTCAGGTATGGAATTTTCCAACTATGGTGTCTTGTTGCAATGAAAGTGTGGGATTCTGGAGGATTTCCGATTTTTTGGATTAGGAATATTTAACCAGTATTTAAAGCACAGTCCTCCAGTTTAAGTGCTACTCGCTACTGCTAAAACTTCCTACTTACTGCTGTAAACTACCGCATTCCACAAGAAAGGAAAAGCCAATACCTCAGAAAACACAAACTTCAACTTACTTGATGACTCCCTTGGGTACTCCCTGCTGCTCGAGACTTTAAAGTCTGGATTTTCTCAAAGACCAAGTTGACTTTCCTCTTAGTGGCATCCTCATTGTCAGAGCTTCTGCAAAAAGGATAGCAGAGCAATGATAAGAGGCACGACCCCAGGTCTCAGAATGCTTTGCAGACCTGGACACGTTTGCAGCAGGCCAAGAAGATAAACTGGAGGGGAAGAGTTCAATGAAACCATAAGTTTGGGACAGGGATTTCCATCCCCAAACAGGTGAGAGAGACATAAGCACATTCTAAACAAATTTGGAGAAAACATTCAGTTAAAATATTTGTTGTTTCATTCAAATAACTCACATTCATTCCAAAAGGAATTCTTTTCTTTGTAACTGTCATACACACACCTTTCACCTCTAAATTCTACCCTAGAACAACCTGCAGTGATTTGAACTAGTTTAGCCTATTGCTTAAAAAAATAAATCCCCCAAGCCAAGACATCCACACAGTGGCCCTTTGTCTCAGAGATCAAGTGTTTTTAACTTCCACCACGCCCCTGGCAATTAAAAGATTTAAAATAAAATTCCTTAACTGGACACCACCCACTGCAGTCTGTCTCCCCAGTCTTTCACCGAGGGAGGAGAAGAGAAGGAAGGAAGGAAAAAATTTAAAGAATTTTAGAACTCAAAAGTCCTTCTACCTTCAACTTAACCATAGTAGAACTCTTCCCAAGGAAATACTAATATAAGGCGTTCATGGCTAAAGGCATCTCTTTACTTTTTCTTTTCTTTTTTAACCAAAAGAGCCCCATGTTATATTTTGAGCCTGACTTGCTCTGTCTCCTCTGTGATGCAGATGAATAATCATCAGGCACAATAAATGAGTGTTCCGGAGCCCATGAGTGTTGGAGAGCTGGCTCTCAGTCACAGGAGGCTGAAACCTTGTCTCTGTTTATCCATCTGATGAGAGAAACTGAAACCGGAGCAGCATGGTCCTTATTGAAATTCCAGCACAAAATCTGAGCACAGACTGAAAGTCCAATTAATCCAACTCAGTCTCAGAGATAAGTACAGAAAACACACCTAAATGACTTGTATTGCCTTTAAAATAATGGGAGCCTGGGCTGCTGGCGCAGTATTCTCTGTGCGGCAAGGGGAAGCTGTCCCTCTTTGTAACTTCTCAGCTGGGGCACTGGGGCCAACAGCTGTGTGGCGGAACTCAAGATGGCGCCCACCTAGCTCAACACTGGACAGAGACAGTCTCCAGTCCTTGAGTTCGCATTTGAGCAATCAAGGGTCGCTTTAAATATATACAGTATTCATGTTTGATATATGTTGCCATTCCTTCTACTCCCCTACCCAGGTCTCTACTCTGTTTTGCTCAAGATTTAAATGCTGGTATTAACTGCAGCCATTGAGACTCAACCCTGGGGGCGGTAAAGGCCTCAGAAGAGGAAACCAAGAGTTCCCTCCCCACAGAAATGACAATAATTTGCTCTTTAAGGAAAATCACTCACCCTTCTTTGAGGTAATTATAAAGTATCTGCTTGGCCGTCTCCTCATTGGCTTGTTGGTTGAGCTCTTGCTGGCCCTTTAAGAGATCCGGTGTGGCCTGTAACATAACCATGTCTCCTATTAGACCAGAGATGACATTTCCAGGCAGATGGTGACAAACAGGTACCTACTTTCCAGAAATGATTCTCTGGATAAACATCCTCCTCACAGCCTGCTGCAACACTGCTCAGCTCTGTGATCTTGAGCAAGTTACTTAACCTCGCCCCTCAATTTTCCCACTTGAAATTACGGTTAATAGTACCCACTTTGACATGGCGGGTGCAATAAATATGAACAGATGCATGTAACAGACAGTGCCTGTCACTTACCAGTCTTATTATCAATGGTATCATTATATTTTATTGTTACTATCAAGACCCTACATGTTCCACGTAGAATCCATCACTTTACAATTAACCTAGGTTACAATTAACCTAATTTCTCATACTAGAAATTAACCTATTCACTCAGTGTCATGAATAAAAATACATCAACACAAACCTAATCCGTGAACCTCTGGGTGGAAACTAATTCTGCTTACTTACAGGTTTCACATGTACCATGTCTGACTTTACAGAAGACCACAATGGAAACCTAGTGGTACTGAAAATGACCCAGAAAACTATACACTCTGGAGTAGGACATAACCTGACTCAAAAAAAAAAAAAAAAAATCAGATGTGTAATTACTGATTTGAGACTGAAGGTGTATTCGTAGAAACACTTGCAGCACGAGCACATCACTAGATCACTGGAAGGAAAAAAAAATGCCATTAATACACTAGTGTTACCTGAGTGTTTGAGTTGGAAGAAAATGTTTTCATGGAAATTTTCTTGGCACCAGAATCCGGTGAGGTTGCCACCGCCCGATGCTGCAACATCAGTGTAGCAGTGGCTGTTTTTATTTCATCCTCCTTTCTGGCCTGTTCTGGAAGGGAGGGTGCACAAACCACCGGGGTGCCTTCCTGACTTCCTCTGTGGTCTGGGACCTTCCCTTCTTTGCTCTGTGGGGCACCCTGGGCGCCATGGGTGGCTCCCTGCAGCTTGGCAACAGCTCGGCCAGTGCCCTGTTTCCCGCGGGACTCCTGAGCCAGGGACCTCTGGGGACACAGCTGGGATGGCCGGAGGAGGCGCTCGCTGGACTTGCCCAGGTTCCTGCTGAACTCTGTCAGGTACTCCACGTTCCCCTGCAGACCAAAAGGAAACGCACTGTCCACGCTCCGGGACCTCTTCCTGTCATCTGGGTTGATTCTGTTTCGCTTCCCAGACCTTCCTCTTCTCTGAAGCCCAGGCTTTTGATCGAATTTTTCAATTAACTGATCCACACCAGGAATTGAGCCCGTGTCAATATCTCGCCCAGTTCCAGGCAAGAAGGGGATATACCTCCTGTTTTCATGCCGGTTGACATTGTCCGCATGGATGGCACATTCCTGATCATCGAGCAGAAACCTGTACAAGGAGGTGGCTGAGGTAGGCGTGGTGGAGGAGGACGAGGACCTCCGTGACCGAGCTCCATCCAGGATGGGGCCCGCTGAATCTTGTCGCCGGAAGGGAAGAACATCGGGCCTGGTTTTCCTGATTTCTGCGTGGGCCTGTGGGCTGAGGGCAGACAGGGAGCTCCTGCTAGGGGAAAGGGCCTCCTCCGCCAGCCTTTCCTTCGTGCAGCTCTGAACATTGACGCACACTGAGGTCTGCTTCTTGGGGTCCTCTATGACCACAGAGCTGCACAGTCGGATGGATTCCAGGGGAGGGCTGGTGGGCAGGGGGTTGCCAGGTTTGGGAGAGCAAGTCCAAGGCTGCTTCTTGCTGTTGGCACCTTCTCCTGTTAAACCATTTAACCAATCGCTCTCAGGAGCTGGGAGATGCTGCAAGTTCAGTTCGTTCTTGTCAGGGTCGTAGGGCTGCAAGAGCTCTGGGTGCCTCTGAAAGTTCAACAGGTGGGATGACCTCCCCGGGATGTCTTTTCTTTCTAGGGCACCGTTCCTGCCCTCGTGGAGAGAGGACTGCTTCGGGTCTCTGGGTGGGCTGGGCTGGACACTGGGGTTCTCTGGGAACGATAGCTCTTCCACGCTGCTCTCCTTCAGCACAGAGCCGTTGCTGGAGCGTCCAGGCAGGTCACCGATCATCGAAGATGGAAAGGAGGGCCCATTTTCTGAAAAAGACCTGCCTACCAGGCAGTGCTCGGTGTTGTTGAGGACTATGTAGGGGTGACCATCGATCCCCTGGACTCTGATACTGACGCCATAGGAGCCTGTCTTGGAGGGCGGGGAATTCCTCGATTTCTTGGTCTCCTCGCTTGCTAGTTGCAGGTGGACACCGTATTCCTGCTGCACGTGTCGGTATTCGCCAAAGTACAGTTCCATGGCTCTCTGTCCCAACTGCCAGGGAAGATGGGGTCAAAAGAGGACACCAAGTTAGAATTACATCTGTTTAAATGAAGATTAGAATAATTACAAGGGGAAACTTCAAAGTTTAGAGAAAACAAAATGCTTTCAACAGCAAAGCACTTCAGAACCAAAGGCGGAGCGCTGCGCTCTCCTGAGCCCGACCTGACCTAGCCTCTCTGGACGTCCCAGTGCCCACGCAGCCCGGTCCAGGGCCTGTTGTCATTGTCACTGTGCACGACCCTAGATGGAGTCACTGCTAATGGTTTAGTGCTTCTGGCACAGCCTCCTGATTCTGTTTCCAGCTCACTGCTGCTCTGGTCTCTTTCTCCTTAAGTTGGTTTCCTCACACTTCATGCTATTTATTTTTAACCAACAAGGGTGCCCCAGTTGCCAAGATTTGAGAACAAGGTACTTTTCCATGAAAATACTTCAGAGCTAAAGAGTTCCAATGTTCACTGCTTTTCTTTTTTTTTTTTTTCTGTACTCTTAATCTTCCCACAATAGTTTCAGTATTTTTTACACACAATCCTGCTTTGACATCTTTTCAGTGTTTGAATATAATGTCTAAAACAATTTAACTCTAAAGAATCAGCTGTTTGTGAAACTAATGATAAGAGATTTGATTAAAAAAATTTTCTTGAACCTTTTCTTCTTCCCAAAAAGGTTCAAGTAGCATAGTCATCTGAATGTCATTTAGAAAATACAATAAAGTGAAGGTGCAGGGCTCTTTGTTTTTCAGTGAGTCTTAATGCCAAGAATCATTGTCTTCACATCTCTAGTGTGTGGCATCCCACCAGGGCCTGCGGGTCTGATGCCACCTGAGAGCCCCCTCTGCCCCATTTTGAAAACCAGCAGAGAAGGAGGCCCCTGAGACAGGTGGCTCCCTCATTTCTGTTACCTGCAAGGACCCTTTTGAGTTTTCTTTCCACTCAGGAGTCAATCTCGTAACGTATTTTCCAAGAAAATTGTCTATTCAGCCCACAATTCCAAATTTACTTGCATGGTTTTGCAAAATACAACTCATTTCATTTCCTCTATCTCCGTATCTACTTTTGCTTGCACTTTCTTCTCCTGGACTGTACCAGTATGTTAATGTTTTAATTGCTGCTTCTCTAAAGAATCAGTTCTTGGGCCAGGGATTTAGCTCAGCGGTGCTGCTGCCTGCCTTGCAAGTGCAAGGTCCTGAGTTCAATCCCACATACCAAGAAAAAAAAAATACAAAAAAAAAAAAAAGAATTAACTCTTATAGTTAACAAACATATAGCTTTTTTTTATTTTCTAATTTACTGAGTTCTATTTTGATTTTTTTGTTGTTGTTGCTTTTGTACTAGGGATCAAACTCAGGACCTTGTGCTTACAAGGCAGGCAGCAGAACCACTGAGCTAAATCCCTGGCCCCCATTTTGATTTTTTATTACAGTAGTCCTGCGCCCCTCCAATCCACATAGGTATATCTCAAGACTTGTCAGTAGATGCCTGAAGTTATGAATAATACCAAACCCTATGTACAAACACAACTATGATAAAAATGTAATTTATAAACTAGGAATAACAAGAGATGAATATCAATAATAAGACAGAATAATTACAGTATACACATAATATAAGTTATGTGATTATGGTCTCTCAAAATACCTAATTGAACTTTCACTTCTTCACTTTAAAAAAGCAGAATGCAGCTTTTCTTTGGCATGTAAACATTGCCAACATCACTACTCTTGCATTTTATAGTCACTGTTAAGTAAAATAAAACTTACTTTGACACAAGCACTCCAACACCACAAGGATCAATCTGGTAACCCAGATGGCTGCTAAGTGACTATCAGGCGGGTAGTATACACAGTGTGGATACACAGGACACAGCAATGACTCACTTCCTCAGGAGCATGAGGAGAGAGTCCATCCTGCTCCTCTGAGCTTAAATTTGCAAGTCACATTTAGAATTCCCACTTAATATTTCCAAACTACAGTTTACTACAGGTAACTGAAACCACAGATAGAGGGATGACCATATTTATTTTTGCTTCCTTCTTTTTATTTTATTCTTTCCTATCTCTAACTTCTTAATTTGTATGCTTCACTTGTGCATTATTGTTGTTTAATCACACAAATTGTGATATGTAACTGTTAGGAATTATGCCGGCTGAAGAAAGACTCCAAAATAACAACCTAAGATTTAAGATAGAATTTTTTCCCCCTAGAGATAAGAAGAAACTGGGCTGAAACAGACCTCAAGATGTTTTTCAGAAAAACCTCTTTTATTTTTCCACTCCTCTATCTCTAGCACATAATAAATACCTTATAATTACTGGGTAGCCGAGCCCAACGTACACATGCCAAAGACAAGAAAAGCCAAACTTTTTTTTTTAGACATTCCTGGAAGGTGCATCATCAATCCCTTATGTCTCCTTGGTAAGGACTTAACCCTCCTGCAACCCCCAGCTACAAGGGAGGCTGAACAAGAAAGTTTTTGGCTGGTCACTGACACTCAACAAAATCAGCATTCTGTTAATAAAGACAGCAGAATGGACATCGGGAAGGAGGCCAGTAGTCTGCACCATGCTTGTGTTTCTAGGACTATCTTGTACAGAGTTTTGGTTTTGATTTCATCTTTAACCCAAGAGTTGTTTTTAAGAAAGTTTTTTCACATCCAATATCTTGGCTTAGGGGATGGATTTTTTTTTTTTTTTTTCGGTACCAGGGATTGAACTCAGGACCTTGTACTTGCGAGGCAGGCAGCACAGCGGCACCACTGAGCTAAATCCCCAGCCCAGGGGATCTTTACTTCAAAATGTTATTTATTTGTACTCATTTTGTGGTCAGAAAATGAAGTCTTTTCTATTTCTTTTAAGTTTACTGAGATTTTCCTTGTATGCAAACATATGGATAAATTTTGGTCATGCTTGCTAAGTGCCAGGGATAGTCTCCACTTTAAGAGATGGCATTTAAGATACTCATTTGTTCAATCTTAGTAACTATTCAATTCAGCAATAGCACACCATTATTTTGTCTTTCTAATCTGTCATTGGGATCTGGGGACACACGGGCTCCTACAATAGCAGGGTGCTGTATGGTGTAAAATCCACTGACATCATCATCTCCCATCTTACAGACAGGAACAACTCTGGACACACACATGTGTGACGTTTACAATATCTCACCAATCCCAATGACTTCATTATGTCTCCTTTTATTTTCAATTACACTAATATTTTTAAGTAATTTTAATCAAAATAAAACAAGATATAATGAAAATCTATAACCTCTAGCCTCCCTTCCCCAATCCCAAACACATTCTCCAGAGTAAACCAATTGCAAATTCTAGCTGTTTCTTCTAGGACTTTCCTCCATGTTTCCAAATAATGTTTCCAGCTGATTTCTTATCAGTTCTACACATGGTAGACGACGCAGTATACACACAATTTTCATTTTGCTCCCAACTCCATGTTTAATCTGCTTTTTGAGAAATATGGCCTCCATATTTTCCATCCTGAAGAACTTAATTTGTAATTTCCAATAGCTCTTTCCCGTTCTCTGATTTATTTCTCTTTCACAAATGCTACTCTGACTTTAGATAGGAAAGTGTCTCTCTCTTACTGAGGATAACTGTAACTTTCCTCAAAAAACATGTTTTCCGGTTTGCTCTGTCCTTGTCACACTCCCCATGTGCTTGGCGACAGTGCTGAAGAGTGAAACACAATGGAGCTCAGCATGTGTGCGTGGAGAGGCCTGATTGGCTCCAAGCTTCAATTTGTGTGGGATAAAAAGCTGTTCACTGAAGAACTCTTCAGTTTCAGAATCTGGGGACATTATTTTTCTGAATCAGCTCAATTTCTCCAGGAATGAAAGCTACAGTCCATTGCTTGGGGCTGCACATGCCTGGCTGCTGGTGACAGAGAGGAGGGCAGGAGGCTCCCTTTGTCCAAACCCCACACTGCTTCACCACCATTTCAGTCCCATAGGCGCTGCCCCATATCCAGGGTACAGACAGGAATCGGAGCCCTAACTGCTTGGCGTCATCTCCCCTGCCTGCTCCAGCAGCTCCCCCACGCTGCACACCCCATTCAGAGCCTCTCAGCAACTCTGCAGGCGAACCACCCACTGCCTCCCTGACCCACAGCAGACCCCTTGGAGAAAGCCTCTCTGCCAGGGCAGCTGCTCCTCCTCCGCCGGCATCCCACGGCTGCGCTCGGGCTTCTGGAGGTTTAAACCTTGTTTGTGCCTTTACTGTCCCTTGAGTAGTGCTCTGAAGAGAGGATAAACTTTTCAACTCATCCAGCTATCTAGCTTGACAAGGTTTCTAATATAAAACACAGGTCGGGGATGTAGCTCAGTGGAAATCATACACTTTGTACACACAAGGCCCTGGGTTGGATCTCCAGCGCGCACATATGTATATATTTAAGGACAGGTAGAGCAGCCACTGCGCTTTGTGGTGATGAAGAAATGAACGATGGCTGAGACCAAACTGATCGGCTGGCTATGTCCTGACCCCCTTTTTTCCAAGCAGCACTGTCAAGTCCCACTCTCATTCTCTAGAAATGTTCATATTTATTAAAGTTTATATCAATTAGGGGGGCACTGGGGCCCTCACACATGCTAAGCAATCATCTACCACTGAGCTATATAAAAATTCTTTTAAAAGGTGTTGTATGCAAATAAACTTATCCACTGGGATGCTTTTTTTGTGTGGGATTCACTAAACAGCTATTTTCCTCACCGGTAATCTCTTCTTATGCTAACAGTGACTTTTCGAAGAAAATATTTCTTCACGTTTGTTAATAAAAGTCTGATCTAGGGTTTTATAGTCCTTTTCAATAGCTGCTGCCGCTAGAGTCAACACTAATTACATTTCAATCTTTGAATAAGGCCCCCTTGGTTTATTACAATCTTAGCTCCCTGTTGTCAAATTAATCCGCATATTTGAATTTCATGAAACACCCACAATTTACATTTCCTTGACAACAAACCTCAATCCAATATTTTCGCAGA